TTGAACTAAAAAAAAAAAACAGCAAACAAGTCATAAAATGAGGTTTAAAAGCATAAAGGAGAGAGTATCCCTTTAAATCAAAAGACACCAACAAGCTAGCCGCAAACCTCAGGTCACAAGACACCGTTATGTTACATCATCAAGGATGTGAAACTGAGACTTTACACTTGGATGTATGCACACAAGCAAATACATGTGCACAGTCATACACGTTTGTGAACTGTATGGAATTACCCAGATTTTTACAAAACAAGTGTTTCATCAAAGTTGTAATACAAAGTAATAAAATGAGCAAAATTTTTATACATTGTAATAACAGTGTCACTGATAGAGGAAAAAAATATGAAGCTCCCTGGACCGCTGGACATGTGGAGGTGTGAAAAAGGTTATTGACAATTTTTTTTTCAAGACTTTATACTCCAAATGTAGATTACATGTAGAGCATGTGTCAAACACAAGGCCCACGGGCCAAATCCAGAACGAAGCCTAGTTTCATTTGGCCCGCGTGAACTTGGAAACAATAATACTGAAACAGCCAGTAGTACACTACTGCTCAACATTTTCACACTATCCGGAACTCACAGGAGATCTGTGGTGTAGCGACCACAACTGTACAGCACGCAAGCTCACATCTCATAGTTCTTAACTAAAACTGAAGAGTGGCAGCCTTTTGTCCATCCAAAGGGTAGTTACCATAAACCACCATATATACATGCACGCCGGTTTCTCCCATAGCTGGCTTGACCATGGTCTGAAATGCAGGTTAAAATCAATGGCTTTGCTACACTTGAAGTAAGTCACACAGATCTTAAAACGATTCACAGAAGCACTGTGCTGGCAGTGGCGTAACCAGAAATTAATTTCACTAGGATGAGGAAATGTACAGAATAAAATCACAGTTAGTTTCCCGATCTGTATAATTAAACTGGTAAGTGTGACATGCTTGTGTATTTCAGCTAGATATCAAACAGCAGTAGGAGCAGTGATGACACGAATTTGTTATTTCTTCATTTAAGGCAGTCTACCTTCAGACAGTCTTGCCACATGAATAATGTTGCCATAAAATACCTTTATGACAGTTCCACTGAAAATTATTAAAATAACATGTTAAAATCCTGATTTACTTTTGCTCTCACATCCATATTTCTGTGCTTATAGTGTGGTTATATGGGTAGGAGCTTTCAAACAGAAACAGGAAAAATGGATCATCCTAACT